GAACGTCATGACTGCTCTGTGGCCATTTGCAAAGTAGGACAATGACATGAATGAAGAGATCAAACCCACTGCTTCCAATGGACACTGCTTCATCATTGTTGCTATTGACTACTTCACAAAATGGGTCGAAACATCTTCATTTTCCTCAGTCACTAAGAATGTTGTAGTCAGATTTATCAAGCATAACCTCATATGTCGTTACGGTATCCCTGAAAGGATCATCACCGACAAAAGAACCAATTTCAACAATGCTATGATTAGGGAACTCTGCATGCAGTTCAAAATCAAGCATCATAATTCTTCTCCAAACAGGCCTAAGATGAATGGCGCAGTAGAAGCTGCCAATAAAAATATCAAGAAGATTGTGCAAAATATAGTAGTAACCTACAAAGACTGGCATGAGATGCTACCGTTTTCTGTTCATGTCTACCGTACTTCAGCTAGAACGTAAATTGGGGCAATCCCATTCTCTTTAGTCTATGGCATGGAAGTTGTCCTGCCTATTGAAGTTCAGATTCCTTCCCTAAGGATTATGAAAGAGGCAGACCTGGGAGAAGACGAATGGGGACATACTAGGTTGGGTCAGTTGAATTTTATTGATGAGAAGTGACTGGCTGTTGTTTGTCATGGTCAAATGTATCAAAAATGCATGATCAAGGCTTTCAACTAAAAATAAAACCTCAAGTGTATCAGACTGGAAACTTGGTAATAAAGCGCATCATTCTTCCACAAGGAGATCCCAGGGGCAAATGGACTGCGACATATGAAGAGTCATTTATTGTTAAGAAAGTTTTCTCTAGTGGTGCGATGATGCTGACTACTATGGATGGTGAAGATTTCCCACATCCTGTGAATGCTGACATAGTTAAAAAATAATATGCATAAAATGACCTGCTAGGTTGACATACCTAGGAAAAAATAAGGGCATCATGGCGAACCAAAGAGGTTCGGGAAAAAATTAGGGATATATGCAAAATATTGTACACCTGGCAAGTCGAAAACATGAAAGGGCAGCTTGGGCAAAAATGGGTATCCTGGTGGGCTGAAAACCCGAGAAGACGGTCCAGGAAAAAGTTAAGGATTAAAGTGTATGCATATGTCCTGTTGTATCCCTACAGCCAGTTTATTACCAAGGTCCAAGTTCAATGGTACAAGATCAATCCAATCAACTTCTTTCAACGACAAGAGATGATGTTCGAAGACATAGGGGCAATAGAGAAGTTGGAACCCAATGAGATCACTTCCACATGGCTATTATTTTTGCTTTCACCTTGTACTCTTTTAATTTCTTTCGAAGATTTCCTCTTACTAGGATCTTGGTCTCCTTGTACAAAAACTCCTGTTTATAGGCAAACATCAATACAAGTATACTTTAAAGTGCAAACTTTTTCGGTTTTCTGTTTTAAGTGCAAAAGCATCCAATGGCTAAAATTGAATGAACATATGCATACGGACATGATTAAATTTTAACAAATATATCAAAACATTAATAAATATCTCCTTAAGGATTTGAATTATCCCCATAAAGTTACTTCAATAAAATCATCCCCACAGACTTGGATTCATGCACTCCTCAGCCAGAGTTTCAATCTCCAGAAAACCCTCTCCCTAGTTGAGTTGGTCTAAAAAAGGGCCTTATGGATTTCTCCCTAAAGGAAAGACTTCTCCAACAGGTCATCAAATTTTCTCTTCAACAGGGTTTATTTCCCCAATAAACTGCAAATTCCCCAGCTTGAGTTTGCTTCTCAGACTATTACAAATCAACGGACGAATCCATTTAACCCCCAACAGATTCATTGCAACCCCTAACAAATTTGTTACTCTCCCCGAAAGTAGCTGTGAAGCTTGGAACCCGACCAAATAACAGTTAACTCCATTCCTCCAAAGCAAGTTACTGTGAAGCCTGGATCCGACCAGATAACAGTTCAACTTCATCCTTTCAAGAAAAATACTGCGAAGCCTGGATCCGACCAGATAATAGTTTAACTTCATTCTTTCTAGCAAGTTACTGTGAAGTCTGGAATTCGACCAGATAATAGTTAATTTCATCTAAGTTGTTGTGAAGCATGGAATCCGACCAGATAACATTTTAACTTCTATAATCTCTGCGAAGCCTGGAATCCGACCAGATAGCAACAAGTTACTGCGAGGCCTTGACCCGAGCAGATAACAGTTCAACTTTATCCTCTCAAGAAAATTACTTGGAAGACTGGACCCGAACAGATAATAGTTTGATTTCATCTAAGTTATTGCAAAGCCTGGAATCCGTACAGATGTCTATTCAACTTCATCTCTCTAAAAAAATTACTACGAAGCCTGGAATCCAACCAAATAACAATTTAAGTTGTTGTAAAGCCTGGAATCCAACCAGATAACAGTTTAACTTTTTCAATTACTACGAAGCCTGGAGTCCGACCACATAACAGTTTGAGTTATTGTGAAGCCTGGAATCTAACCGGATAACAATTAATTTCATCTTCCCCAGTAAGTTGCTACGAAGCCTGGGATCCGACCAGATAACAGTTAACTTTATTATCCCTAACAAGTTTTTGTGAAGCCTGGATCCGACCAGATAACAACTAACTTCCATCCTCTCCAATCAAGAGATAACTCCCCAGTAGAGCAATGGACAACTAAAACTCCTGAACTCTTTCCCCCAAGTAGAAATCAACATTATCCATAAGCAAAGTCAATATTCCCCAACGGTGTTTTCCTCAAACAACAAAACAGGAATCCCCGGCGGAAACACCCTAAACAAAGTTTGAAGATACACATAATCTTCAATAGCAGTCCAAGATTTAACTTCCCAAGACTCCCTAGTGTTTGTCAAGGATTTATTTTCCCCAGACAAAGATACATTTCAACAATATTTCCCATTCATACATCATATTACCTACATGACAAATTCATACATCATAATCTCATTTATTTTGAGAACATAATCAATGCATGCATACATCTGCATGCAACTAACCCTCTTCCTTGCAGCAAAAGTCAATCAATAAAACAAAATTCCTCTTCTGGATAGATTCACATCTTCCAGTTAATAATAAGAAATCAATAGGCCTCTTCTAGTTAGAATCGTTCCCCCAGTGAAGTCACCAATCACAAGACCTCTTCTTATCAGATTTATTTCTATCAGTTAAAGACAGGCGCACGATGACCTCTTCTGGTTTAGATTTACCTCTTCCAGTTAAAGACATGTGAAGGATATTTGTTGTTTCAGTATAAATTGACCAAAGATTTGTTCTGTTACTTCTCTCAGTAAACATCTACTGGCTCAAATTAAATCTACCAAAGATTTATTTCTCATACTTCTCCTAGTTGAAGTCAAGCATTAGACTTAGTCTAATTTCTCTATCAACGGTCATTTCTGGATGGCATCTACAAGCCCATCTCCGACGACTCTCAACCATTTCTTATGGAATCTTTAAGCCCATATCTGATAATATTCTGTCACTCTCCAAATGGCATCTTTAAGCCCATTCCTGATACAATAAACCCAAAGCATTGCTTTGTGCATAAGTAAGTGCAAATTTCTGGGCAATCTAGTGTTCAATCATCTTCCACTTTCAAGCTACGAACGACGAACGTGTCAATCTCGCTTTTAAAGTTTAAGAAGATTGAACAGGGGAAGTTGTTGTACCCCAAAATTTTCCCTCTCATTTTTCATTCAAGTTGTTATCCTAGGGTTTCTCAAATACTCAAAATGGCTCAAGATTTGATCAGACAGATTCTCCTCCTAAGTATTGAGTTAACAACTAGGGTTTGGTACTTCTCAAGAAAAATTTATTTTCTAAGGTTTCAAATGGTCTTCATGGTTTTTCACGTATTCGCAAGGATGCTCGTGCTATGTTTCGAGCCTGGCATTGCAAGTTTGCTCAGTCAATGGCTCAGATGACTGAAAATCAACTGCATTAATCCAAAATCGACCTTTCCAAGATCAAGTTCAAACGATTGTAACTTATTCATTATTAGATATTTTTGAGTGGTTATTTTTGCGTATGACTCTCCTGGACATCATCTTTAACTTCTCTTTACAAGTCAAGAGCCCATTGTGTGCGAAAGATCATCAAAAAAATTGAATATTTTAGAGGTCACTTTCTGGATTTTTGACCTAATCTCAAGTAATTGTTGTCTAACTTCCAAAGAATCGTAATTTCCTCAATTTTCAAAGATCTCGAGACGATTATATTTGCAAAGCATCATAAGCGATATCATCTACAAGTTTACTTTAAAAATCGAAGTCAAATTGTGTTTAGAAGGCTTTGAATTTTAGTGAAGCGTTGTAGGTCATTTTTCCTGATTTAGAAGTTTCTCGATTTCTAATTTCAATTCATGGTGCCAACTTCTTAATGAAACAACTTTTATCTTGAAACCCACTTGTATTGATTGTTCAAGGCCTTTTAGGTTTGGCTCGATTTATGATGCAAGATGAGTTGATTTATGATTTGTGGATGATCGGTACAAGACATGCCTTTTAAGTATTCAAAGTGGGTTTTCAAAAACATCATATTTGAAAATTCTGAGTTTTGAAAAGAAAGGTGAATTTCATGATATGATTGAATTCATTCCATTTTGGAAGAGGAATCTATCAATAACTCTTGGAGTTTGTATCCTTTAAAATTCAAAGGTTAAATCGAATGTGCAAGGCATAGTTTCTTTATTCATCAAATTTTACTTAAGACATTCATCATCATTCAAGACGTCAAGTTCTTATTCCATTCAAGAATTGGATTCAAACTTCAAGATACAAGTTCATCAATGTTAATTCAAGGAAATCCAAGAGCATTAAAAGTTTCAAGGCATGTATCATTATCCATTCATCATTCGAAAGTCCACTTTCGAAGTTCACTACCGTTCAATTTCATTCAAATTCATTCAAGTTTCAAGCTACAAAAATTACAAGCAAGGATCTAACAAGGTCAATTATTCGAATGTGCAATTAAATTACAAGCAATTTTGTTCACTCAAAAGTTTACAAGCATCAATTGTAATTCATGTTGTCTTCACATCCTAAGCATTGGATAAAAGAGAAACTTTACAACCAAAACATTGTTTCTAAACCTAAACCCTCCAAAACAGATCCAAGACCAATCCTGCTTCACAATGCTTGCAGCCTGCAGTATGCAATACCTTACATATCACCAATTGAAACTATAAGCCCTGCATCAAACATTAAACCAACTCCATGCCTGCACTCACTAAAATAAATTTTTCCATAGCCCTGCACTAGCTACTAAAAAACTACTCCATTGTTGTCCAGACCTGCCCAATAACAGTCCAAAAAACTGCACCATATCAGTCCAAAAAATGTTGTCCATACACAGAATTAGCAAAAACAAAAGGCTGTCCTTAAAAGTTACAAAGCAGTATACTATAATACCGTTCAAAAGCTATACTTTTCCCCCCAAAATTCATCTATCTCACCTATATAACAGAAGCAATTAGACAATAGAAAAATTCTAACACAATCATCCCTGAAAACATCTCAACCTCTGCCTGCACAAAATCAACATAGAAAAAATGTTTGTTAAGCAAAAACTAGGAAAATTTCAGAGAACAAAAAAAACCATGCTTATGTCTTTCATCTGCACTTAAACCTTACGATACCTTCACTACATACACATTTCGGATACTAACACATACAAATAGCCATTACTTAGAACACCAACAATGGGCAGAATAATCGCATAGAAAATCTAACAAAAAAAGCTTCATGAAAGTTCTGCCCCAAATTCATTATTTAATTGCTTAAACCTCACAGCAAAAACTTACCTCGGTTAAACTTCAAAATCCTATAAGCACAAAAACAGTTCACATTGCATCTGCAGTTTCGTTTCATTCCATCATCTTCATCGCACTCTAGAAGCATCATCATAATGCTAATGTTTCAGCATCAATAATGAATAGATTTACTGCCATGCTGCAATAACGCCATAGCATTAACAAATCTGAATTAAAAGCAAATAAAACATAATTTACCTCAAGTCACCCACACCGGAAAATACGTGATTCCCGTCCAGCCTTCCCACTGACATATTCGAGTTCACCCCTGACCACGCGACAACGTGTACGTAACACACTCAACCACCCTGCTCATGTCACGCCGAAAAAATCTCCACAACATTATCGCGTCGGTCGATAACTTTATCTTTCCTCCTTGATTGTGTTTTTTTGATTCTCTTGGTTTGATTTGTATTTCATGTTTGTTATCATGTCTACCGTGAGATATGATAGAAATTGAGAGTATATGATGGAAGCAGAACTATAAGAAATCGTTTTATTGTTAGAAAGCAAAGGAAGATTAGAGAAATGAACTGAGATAGCAAAAAAAAATCATGAAGAAGAGGTGGGGAAAGAACGTTTGAGCGGCTGCTGTTTTTTATGTTATTTAGGGTTATTACAACATGGTGCTTTATGGAGAAGGGGTTGAGCCGGGTGTGACCCACCCCGATTCGTGCAGGCCCAACTATGTTTTTTTTATTATATATTTTATTTATTTCATTCTAACTTTTTTTTTTGTTTTTAATCACATGGGCCAGTTTTCTTACAATTTTAAAAGTACAGAAAATTTCTCACTATCTCACTAATAATTATGATTGACACTCTTTTATAGTTAGATTAATTAGTATTAATTTAGATTTTTTAGATTTTAATTTTAATTTTTTTTTATATTTTTAACTTTAGAACGTAGAATCATCATTAATAACTTTAGAGTAAATTTAGATTATATTTAAATTTAAATTTAATTAGCTTATTTTAGGTTTAATTTGGTAAATTAGAATTTTAAGTTAATAATTTTATTTAGTTTAGATTTAATTTGATTAATCTCTAATTTTAATTCTTTTAAAATTCAATTAAAAAAGATATAATTTCAAAATTAGTTAATTTTCTTAATTAATTTAGTTTAAGGCTTTGTGAATGATTTTATTAATCAACATTTGTTAGTTAACATTCTTTTAAATTGTTTAATTTCTTTTAGTAAATTATTTTATTTTAATAGAATAGATTTTTTATTTTATTTTATTATTTTATTCATACTTTTCAAAACAAAATACCAAAAACACTATTTTGATATTATTAATTATTTTGCTAACTAATCTTATTTAATAATTTCTCTTAGTTTAATTATTTGATCATTTTTAATTCGATTGTATTGTATTGATTGTTTATTTAAATTTTTAATCGCATTGTCGATTCGTTCCATCCCCGTTTGTAAATTTGTAGCCCCATCCCCAAAAGCTCTGTAATAGCGTAAAATTTTAATTTCTATAATTTATTATTTTCCTTTATACGGTATAGTAATTAGGCGTGTATGATAAAATACAAAATCAAATAATAGATAACCATAAACTTCAAAGATAATATAATCAAAGACAAATTAACTTGAATCAAACACACTTTTCACACACGCGCCTCTAATATAACCTCGCTTGTTGCCTCGGAAAAATAGTCATGTCCCTCGAATGTGGAACGCTTTAGCAAAGACCCTCGATAAAAAAGATCGTAGTCTCTCGATGACCCTTTGATGTTGCCTTCGACAAAATGATCTTAGTCCCTTACGAAAATTACTAAAGAGTCTCATAAGTTGCCTTCTATGTTGTACGACGACCTGCGTCTGTCCCTCCACATCCAATAATGAGACTTCTTACCAATCAATGGTAAGATAGCAACATCTAAAGGAGGTGGAAAAGAACACAGACCTTTTGAGTAGGTACAACGTTCATAGTTGGTGCACTTTGAATATTTTTCAGTCTATATGTTACTAATTTTATTTCCATTTATATTCAAAAAAATCACAAAAAAAACCATTTTTTAATTATTTAAATATTATTTTCGTACTTTTAATTAATGCATTTTTTAAAAAAGTAGTTTATTTGATTTTTTGCACTTTTTACCAAAATTGAGTTCAAAAATTATAATAAATACCAAAAATATTTCCTTTTATGTTTAATTGTTTTTTATTGGTAAATCAATGTCAATCTATGTCATACTCATCTTATGATTGGTTAGCTTGGTGACCAAGGAAAATTTGATTTGTCAATTAACTTTATTTCTTAATTTGCTGACCTAATTATCACTATAAATATGCCACTCTTTTACACTATTTTCATCCATAATTTCACAATTATCAACTACTCACTAGAGTTCTCCTAAAAGTTGTTGCTCCTCACATCAAATAACAACAACAAAGAAACGTTGAAGTCTCCATCAACAATCTTTTGGTGATCAACAATCTTATCAACAATTAATTTAGGGTTCTGAACTGAACACCTAAATTTTTTCTCACAATTGGAGGGTGATTTTTCTTATATTATCACACTCAACCTCTCTCTCTCTCTCTCTCTCTCTCTCTCTCTCTCTCTCTCTCTCTCTCTCTCTCTCTCTCTCTCTCTCTCTCTCTCTCTCTCTCTCTCTCTCTCTCTCTCTCTCTCTCTCTCTCTCTCTCTCTCTCTCTCTCTAAATGCTTCTCGTCAGGTGCCATCTCTCTTTTTTCCTTTTTTGCTTTGATGGAAGAGAAGTTATGTTTAGTTGTTCTTCTAATATAAGTTGGTTATGTTTTTATTATAATATATTTGTTATTATAATATGTGTTGGTATTATAATATTACTTGTTATTATAATTGGTGGCCTTTGTAAATTAAATTGTGTTGCTATTTAGAAGCAGGTGGCGGTACGTCTCTCCTATCCTTCTGTTATTTCTTTTTATTTACTTATTTATTTTTACAATTAGTTATTGTTACTAATTTAATTATTTATTAGAATTAGGACTAATGATGGGCTTGAACCATCCTCTTTTAATTCACACTCCCTCCACACATTTGAGTCAAGTTTAAGTTCTGAACTTGGACCCTTATTACTTACACCCATGGAATTACTACCTAACACTAAAATGCACCTACTGACCTTTTTGAGTCTAAAATTACTTTGGGCCCAGATTTCTTTTTATATACACCACCCAACTCTAATTTTATACCCCTTAAACTTAATTAAATAATTTTAATTATTTTGTTTAATTTTTTTTATCTATTTAATTCACATAATATATTTAGCGTTTTACATTAAACATATTCCTTTGCATAATTATTAATAAATAATTATTATATTTTTATTAAAAATGTTTAATATATTTTTAATAATTAGAAAATAGTTATTTATTAATTAAAATATTTTCTAAAAACACTAACCCAATATTTTAATTGCATTAAATCTTTTTTCTCATTCAAACTTACTTTTTTACAAATTACATTATACATTATAAGACAATTAACCCATCAAATACTAATATTTTTCTTTATTAACATAATATAAAACTCAAGACATTTTCAAAAAGGATTGTGGATATTATCTTTATTAACTGCGAACCGCGTCTACAATTCCGCTATTTTCAAACCAGACAAGGTTAAAGGAGAATTCAAAATATTTCCACAATCCATAAAAAAACTAACCAAACACTACGAATTACGAATTGGGACTTTGATTCCTCATAAGAGGATACATAGACATACGACTTAAAACCCATGGCGAGTCCCCTAACTAAAAAATTAAAACCCTATTCCTAAACCTTAAACCTAAACCCTAGTATCCTTGTTAATAAGGTAGATGAAGGGTTCCTAACACCTTCCCTTCTTCGAAAGTGAGTCAAAAATTTAGAATCTATATATCGATTTAGGGTTATTCCGTTATATTCTCTTCCTTAGGATAAAAATTAATGATGGAGACACTTATTTTTTGCCGGTTATTACAGATGGCGACTCTACTAGGGATTCAACCCTAGGTTTTAGAAGCCTCTCCTTTTTGAGTTTAGGGTATTTGTTTAGGGTTTCTATTTTTGATGTTGTTCTATATTTGCTTATTTTATTTATTTATTTGGTCTATTTATTTATTTTTATATTATTTCCATTATCATATTTTATTTGTGGTGGAATTTCAATTTTGAATAATTCAAACCCTTAGAAAGAAGGTTCGTCTATTGGCCAAGGGGATATATCATCCCTACGAATTTTTGTGATGACTTCTCCTAGAGTCGGTGGAATTCCAAAAAAGGAATATGTCTCAAGAAGTATCCTCTTGGAGGATATGACTTTGGAATGAAACCTATGATTCTTTGTATAATCCTAAACCAAAATCTCATGATGAGACCTTGTACGACCTTAAAGATGAATGTTCCAGTCTACAATGAGGCTCTGCTTAAGAGAGGCCCTTGTGC